TTCGCCAATATTTCGATATTATTTCTTTAGTATTTAATTTAAGGACTTTGGTAATAAATATAGGTATTTAAAGTTTTAAATTCATAGAACATGAAAAAACAAGTTTGATTAATTTGAAATGATATTTATTCTGTTTTGCCAGCCTTCAAAAATAACCATAAAAAACTCATTTTGGTAGCTAACGAGCACCCATTAGTCAAAAAGGAAGGCACATTACACGCACAAGACTTGGCGCAAAAATACTTATAAGTAAAGACGCCGCCCAATCAGCCAATAAATAAGGCAATACATGAACGATAAGCATATACTACAAGAAACGTCTACTCATAACAATAATTCAAAATGGGTAGTTAAAAAAAGCCATCGCTTCCGCATAACATGGCTGGCAATAGGACCAAATATACTAGACAGGCAAATTTGGCTAATTTATTAAAAACAAACGACGAAGGCAGCGGAAAATTGCCCAAGTAACGCCAATTGAGCAACAGCCAAAAGAAAATCGATGGCAAACAGCAAAAAAATATTAAATGACTTTCAAATGGTTTTCATTGGGAAATTGAAACCAACAATGCAAACCATGTACATTTTCTTCTCTCTTTTGGTTTTACAGCCAGCCTCATAAATTGCCAATTAAATTGCCAGACAACATCTGAATAAAGAATCTATGTACTATCTGATTGCACACGCTGTGAAGCAGCGAACGTGAGACATATTTATTTATTCATTTACATACAATACCTAAAATATGTCTACGATTTTATATCGAAGCGAAGAATTCGTTCAAGACCTTAAAAATATTATAAAGAAAAATATAAAAATATGAATATATTCTATATATTTTTATTTAAATTAGGTAGTTTGAGTATTTATCATAAGGGAATTAGAAAATTTGATTTAAAATACTGTACAATTAATTGTAAAATGTTATATTTTTGCTTGTGTTTATTTAAATATTTAAATTTTTTGTTCTTTTATAGTTTTTCTTACACTCTTACACACAGCAAACAAGTGTATAGTTGTTTTGTGCAAATTAATTTAACTAGAATAGTCAACTAATATGAGTTCGATCTGGCCTGTCCGTATCGATTTAGAAAGCGCCTACATTTTGTACGTAGGTCCTGCTATATCCTGCGCAATACGAGTTTGTTTCGAATCAGCGATAAATTTCCCTGTTTTAATGATATCGATGTCGAAATCTTGAAAAGAGTGTTGGATAATTGAAGAACGTTTTAAAGTTATTCGGTCCTTGGAAGAACTTAAGACTTTTGATTGTAACGGCTTCTTTTTCCTTTCATTTCTTTTCACGGACGGGTAAATAAAATATTCCCAGCGTATTGGCGATGCTATGAGTAATTTTTGTTCTTTGATAAGGCAATATGATAACGAATAATACTAAAAAAAATAATTAAAAATGTGCTAGAGACAACAAATTTGCTAAGTTGACTCGCATGAAGAATACACCGATCTAGAATATTATATTTTTCGCTACCCCTACTCGTTCCTTTCTAATAGGCTTGAGTTTGGTATTTACTCACATTTAAGCAACTATAGAGGTCGGATACTAAACAGCGCAGCAAGTCACGAAAACATTTCCCATACTGTGTGACTATAGCTGGGGCACTCGCGACTCTTACTTATTTATTTATTTGTTATACTTTCTCTTTGCTATAAACTTAAGTTTGTGGCATAAATAAATTTGAAGTTTTCAATTACCATTATTGCCGTAGTGTTAAAATGAAAAATGAATCTAAAGTACAAGCATCTACAAATAAATTGCATTTATTTTAAATTTCGCTTTGGCACGCATTCAATTCTGAAACAATTTTTCACCTGCACTCTGAGGTAAAAAGCGCACTTGTGGCCTACCAAAAAAAAAGCCCATAAACAAACCTATTAAGTTGGTCTAATGTGAAACACTTTCGATTTCACCCCTCCAGCCCTTGCTCCACATCTGAGGCGAGTTTCTATCGGGCGCTGCAATCGGTTGGTATTTTTATGCTGATTAGCTACGTTAACAATTTGCAGCACGCGAAACTATTTCAACAATTTCGAGTGGCAAAAACTTGTAGCATAAATCGCCGTAGCGGCCAGAGGGCAAAGCTGTTCTATGCCAGAGTTGGAAAACGCCAACAGAGTCTGGGAAAAATTTTAATAAGCCAAGTCTAAGGAAGTATTCGTAATAGAGTAAAATTCATGCGGCGCACACGCGACTTCGTAGACCTCATAATATTGAGAAAATTCTAGCCATTAAAACCACGCACATACACACCAGACACACACACACACACACGCACACTCCAGCTCCTTGTTATAATGCAGTCAAGGACATTTAGGAGAGGCAGGAACCAAAAAAAAAAGAAAATGCTTTAAAACGCGACGTGAATGCCAAAAAAAAATTTATAAAAATAAATTCAAGCACACAGAAAAATGCCATGACGGAAGTATCGCAAAAAAATACTAGAAAAAAAAATAAACGAAAAAATATATAAATGTCAAACGGAAATGACGAGAAAATAGTATGCAATAATATATGTTATAATGTACTCAGAACAGATGCCTGCGATAATGTGGGCGGCAGGAAGTCGTATTCATGTGGTTTAAATTGAGTTTCACTTTTTTTTTTTTAGATTTGTATCTTTAGGTAGTGCATCTCTGCTGGTAAATGTAAAACTTGTGTTTGCTGCAAAAAGATACTTGAATAGGGGAAATGACAAAAATGTTGGCAACGTTGTAAACTTTTTTATGTGCTAATATATTTGTAGAACATATTTTTCCACATTATTAGTTTAAGTTTTGTATGATAACTAACTGGTAATATCCGGCCCTTACCTAGTCCAATATTGTTGCTTCAAATTTGGCATACAATTTTCTTTTCTCCGTCCGTGGAAAACTTATATCTGGCGGTACCATCTTGAGGACCACGGCTTAAGTTATAATACCTAGGGTATTAATTTTTGTTCCCTAGCTCGCCTAGAAACAACAACTATATTCAAATATTATTTGTCGCATAAATTTGCGATTGATTAGAGTAATGCAACTGTTGCTATCGATATTCCTGCTTAACTATTTATAGGGCACACATTTTAAGAAATTTCCACCAACTGTAAAAAAACTATTCGCACGCTTCGCATGGCCACACATTGCTATAATATTTTTCGCTTTACCATGCATAAAATCATAATATATCTTCAACTACAAGTAAAAGTATCTACACCAGATACTACGGACTGGAACTGAATGTGCCAGCAAATAAGTAGTAAAACAGCGAGTAAGAGCCAAGGACTCTGGCACTCAACTGCAGACTGAGACAGAGAACATTGGGCCAAAACGATAAGTGACAAACATGTAAAAGCCAAACAAATGTATATTTTATACATGACATGTTGTTGGGGGGGGCGGGCGTGGGCGTGTGTGTGGGGGTGGGGGGGCCCACTCTGAGTGCCTGGCAAAGAGAGATGCACATCTGTCAGATAAGTATGGAGAGCAGTTTTGGCCCGCAGGTGACAAGTTAAACGTCTTGTAAGCATTTGCATTTCAGGAATATACAAAAAATAGAGAATATAACAAAAAAGGTGTATTTAGATACTCAAGCTCTTGCATGATAAAAATAAATTTGCTAGAAATAAATAAATAAATAAATAGCTAAGAAAAAAAGAGTAAGCAACAGCAAAAGACACATCCTTTATCTGCAGTTCATTTTGCCTTCTACACAAAGACTTCAAAAGGGTTGTTATTGTTGTTGTTGTTGTTGTCGTTGTTGGCAATGGCTTAAAGCATATTTGATTATGTCATGAAATATGCTGAAGGATCTGGGCACCCTGTTTGCCAAGAAAAAGATCAATTTAAGAAATATGCAAATATAAAGCCAGCCTTTTAACCGAAAAAAAAGAAACTGTTTCAACCCCAAAAGCCTTGTGCAAAATTATTATCATACATTTTTTAATATGCGCAATTTAAGCTCGTGTCCTGTTTAATATTTACAATGTGTGTGTGTGTGTGTGTGTGTGTATTGTGTGTATAGACAAAGGCAATTGAAATTGCCAGAGAGACTGCAACAAATTTTGTATCCTGATTGCTTCTAATGGGAAAAGTAAATGTTTTTCCATCCACATGCAAATATTTTGCTGCATGCACATTGTTTTCTTGTTTATTGAACAAATTGTTGCAAAGTTTGCCAAAGAAGTGAGGGGAAGCACAAAAGGGGTAATTTTAAGTGTCAAGTTACAATTTGAAATTAAAACTTGATCAAATTGTGTGAAAATTATGAGAATATTTTCGCATAATCTATCGTTTCCGTTATTTTATCTAAGCATTTAAAATCGTCAATTTTTATACAACTATTTACGATGCCCTTTGCCGACGGCATATATGTTACTCATAGAAAAAGACACGGTACATATATATTTGACCATTATCAAAATATAAGTCGATCTTTTTTTTTGCTTAGTGCCACAAAGCTTAGTGGTTCACATATTTATTTTCATAGCAATTTTGAGAAGTTTTCAAAACCTTGAACAATAACAAACACATAAGTGGAAATAAAAGTTGTAACAGATTGCCCATATTTATTATCCCTGTTTAATAAAATATACAATTAGTATACATTTTATAATTATTTCTTTCAATTCTATATATTTGTATATTTAATATGTCTTCCTTTCAAGTGTCGATTATTTGAATGCCAAAATAGAGAGATGCAATTCTCAACTAACCTAGCTCAAAATGTGGATTATCTGAATTTCTGCAATCTTTTCAAACTGGCACTCTAGCTTCGGTCCACGTAGTGCTAATTGGCAATATCATGTGCCAAAGTGGCACAAATGCACTCTGAATATATATATATATATCTATATCTATATATATGTATGTGTGTTTGGCACTTGTGTCATAATTAAAAGCACTCGTCATAGCTCATTAATGCCCCAACCGCACACATCTTCAATCAATTAATCATTGAGAAGCCTATTAAAACAGACTCATTAAATTAGCAAAGCACTTACCCTTTGAAGGTATCTCGGCTCGAGTGGGCGTGGCAGTCATCATTAATAGCACTGTGTTGATAATGAGCGCAACGCCAGCTAAACGCCCATTGCCAGGGAGGCGTGGCAATCCTCGTCGTGGTCCAAGTCCAAACATTTTCGATAAATCTCTGCAATGGGCAATAGGCTAAATTGTACACGAAAATGCGAAACACTTCTCCACTCTTCCCCGAGGGGTGGGTAGCTAGGTGTTTGGTAGGAGGGACAAGGGAGAGGCACACACGAAATATATGTTGGATGCGGAGTGCTGTGCGGGGATTAAGTGCGGGCGGCAGTAGCTGCAGTTGCCAATGCGCGCAACAGCAAACGTTTTCACCTTTAATCACTTAAATGGCGCGTAATCAACAACAACAACAACTACCAGAATAGCAACAGCAACAACAACAACAACAACAACAGCATTGCAATCAACACCAGCGCCATTGAAATTGAGCGTCATGATGATGGCGAGGCTGTTGACGTGCGGGTTTGCCAGCACTTAACGTCTATGGCCGCCCCATCGACCGTATCCGGATGCGTAGCGTTTTCTAGCTAGACTCAAAAATTTTCTATGCCCTTGCGTTGGGTATCTTAATTAGAGCACACCAAGGGATACCGCCATAAGTACGCAGGGACCTTAAACTTGGGAAAACTAAAATTGTCCAAAAATTAAAATCGTTTTTTGCTAACTACACTTCTTTTCATTTCAGTTTACTTTTATTATTATTTTCTCTTTTGTTTTTTTTTGGTAAAACTCTCCTATGTGTTACTTGTTTTGCTTGAAATATTAGGGTTCCTATAAAAATAATCCTTTTTAAATTTATTTCTAAATCATTTAAATTGAAATATTGTGAATTGTAGATCATTTTAAACTCTTGCAGTTAAAGCTGAGATTTCTCGAAAAATGTATTCACAATATCAAATAGCTCCAAAATGGAATCCTTCTGTTTTGAGAGCGAATGCTATGCAGATAAATTATTGATACTTCATTGATATAGCTCTACTAAAATCTATATTTTTGTGGAATATGTCTTAAACGTGCAATTTTTAAGTTTTTAAATATATATTTTTTAATACATTTTCTAAACTTTTTTTATTCTTATTTTAAGAATAAATTGAATTGTTTTCTGTATCTTATGGGCTGCTTTTTTTGGAATTTCAAATATACTTAGATGAAGTCTCAAGCAAGTCTCTTTTTAAAGCTCATAACTCTTGAGCTTAACCTACATTATCCCACTCCATTTAGCGCTCAAAATGTACTAAGAAGTTATTTATTTTTCAAGCATGTTTTTCCATAATTGACCAGTTATTAATGTTTTTAATCTTCTAAGCTTGATTGGCTTGATTATTGTTAATTTTTTGGTATTCAAGACACATTAATTAAATGCTTCCTATTAATAGATGTCTTTGATTTTTCCACAATTAAATTCTATGAAATACATCTCTATCTGATTGATATAAGATTATTATATTCAGCGTCTGCCGCGGCTAAATGTCTGCAAGGGTATTTAATTTTCGACACAACGTTGTTGTGTGTTGTTCTTTCTCATTGTTGTTGTTGCTGTTATTTTGGCTACATAGTTTGGCTGTAGCTTTTTGACTTTGCCAACGTTTGTTTGTTTGTTTTTGTGCGGAAAGTGAGGCCCGAACGGGTACTAAGAGAGAGGGGGTGGGGGGCGTCTGTTAGGCTGTCGTCGAGTTGGCAAAGCACATTTTGAGGCGTTGTTTTGACGCGTTTGCCAGGGGTGCGGTGCGAAGCGGGCTAACTTTGTTGTTTCCGTCTAGATTAAGTTGAGACAATTAAATGAAATATGCTTAGACAGCATTTAGACAGTAATTTGATTTTGTGCGTTGCCTTTGATTGTTTTTCGCTTAACTTTTTGGCGGCTGGCATTTAAAAGCCCTTAAAAATATTTCAGATACTTTGAGCGAATTTATCGAAAATAGATTAAGTCCTTGTAGTGTAAATATGAGTTTGCATAAGTAAGTCTTTAACAATATTTTATTCTTAACGTTCAAAATAGATTATACGATAAAAATTAAAGTTAATTAACTGGAAATCAATTTATGTAAATGAATAAAAAAAATATATTTAAGGCCAAATTAACGATACGAAACTAAAAAAATCTATACATTAAACTAGCGATGGATGCGAGCCGCACGATGGGGCCTCAAAATTCATTTACTCAAAAATAATTTTATGATTTAGCCTGAAAGTCACGATAAAGCTTGAGAAATAACTACATGAAAAATTGGCCAGGATATGAAAATAATGCAATCGAAGCATATAATTAAAAACGACGACGAATAATTAAACAAAATCCAAAAAGCTCGTCAAAGTAACTAAACAAAAATATTCGACTAAAATTCAGGAAGCCGTTTATCTCGAAGATACAAAAAATTAATTATATAAGTGTACTGCTTATTTTTTGGGATTCGTGACAGAACGTACTTTAAAAAAATCATAAAAAAATATTTGACATATTTTTAATAAATTTTACTAATTTGTCAAGCCGAATACAGACAAAATATATTAATTTTAAAACAATTGTTCTTCTAATTTAATATCAAAAATTGTTTATTTTTGAATAAAAAAAATCGAATTATTTACTCAAATTGTATATTAAAAACTTTTTAGAAAATTGTAACTATTTTAAATAATAGTTCGGTTATTTTCTCAGCTAAATGCGTTTTGATAATTTGATATTTTTATAAATAATAAAAATAACTAAATTCTGGCAGCATCAGAGAGAGAAGCTCTTAATTTTTTGCAGTTCACAAAAGCCAGCAAATGCGTCAACAAAAAAATAAAGAAAGCAGCCCGCAGATAAATTTCAGTTGGCTTCAATTTGCAATGTCAAACTGTCGTCGCCGCGTGTGTTTGTTCGCAGCGCTCGAATCAACTTTGACAAATGAAATGATTACACAAAGTAAACACAAAACACGTTGAACAAACCACCTGTCAGACAGCTGGCAGCACAAGAAAACAAACAGAAAAAAAAGGAAAAAACATAAGCCAAACAAAAAAAGCCCCAAACTCAGGACGAGAATTTGTGTGGGGGACGCTTGGCAAGAGCCAGCGGGCAGCTGAAAACATGGCAACATTTTACAAGCGGAAAGCCAAAGGAATATTATAAGCAACAGCAATAACAATAACAACAACAAGCCAAAACGCCAGCCGGCGGCTAAAATGCCAAAACCGAAGCGAACCGCATCGCATCGCATCGCGTCGCACCGCACCGCACCGAAAATGCATGCCTGCAAAATGGCAATGGCAACACTTCCGCTTCCGGCGCTGCAGGCAGACGTCGCACAGTTGGCAAAACGTTGCACGTTAAGCAAACTGTAGTCAAAGGCGGACGCCGACAGGCGACAGGCGACAGACGAAGGACGACAGACGAGAGACGAGGGACAACGGACGAGAGTCGAAACACAACAAAGCTTGTTAGTGTTGCGCCCCGTAGCGATGACAAAAACAAAAACAACAACAACAACAACAACAACGGCAACAAGAACCAAACAATTTTTGGCAAGCCTTCTGGTGCAGATTAATGGACTACAAATACCCTGTTGAAGGTTTAATATTGTTTCCTAAGGCTTAAACTTAGTAGAAAGTTTAAAAAAAAAAAGTATTTTCATATGTGAAAAATGTTCTAGCATTCATATAATTAAAATTACAAAATGTATATATTTTTAAAGTCAGAATAATTAAATTTTCATTTGTGGTAAATATGTGCTTGAAGTCATAATCTGAATATATATATATATATATATATATATATATATATATATATATACTGATCAGGACTTCAATTGTCTACAACTTTAATAAACCACATGACTACAATTTTTATTAATATTCAGCTTTAAACAGTTTGCAATAGATATTGCTATGAATTTGCTCAGAAAGTTGAAGCTATGAGAAATGAAGTTTCCAGCTTAAGGCAAAGAGTTTCAAGGAATTTCGGCAGCTCATAAACTAAACTGAATAAAAGGCATGCCATTCGAGTTTTTTTTTTAACAAATAACCTATGACAGTATTAACTAAATTGCTTACTAGCCAACAAGGGCAAAGTATAAGCTTAAAAAGTGAGTAGGTTTTCTATATAAAATATTTAACTCTTTTAAACAAATCCCGGTTTTATAATCGGCAGAGCAGCCTTTTAACCTTTAATTCTTCTTATTGAATATAGTTTATAATAATTTGTTAGATTATTTAGTGAATAACAAGAGCTTTCGCCCACAAATAGGTATATGTTACTTTGTATTTGTTGAAAGCGGCTTCCTCTACTTTATTTTTTTATGCAGGGTATAAAAACAAAAGCCCTCAGGGCTGGGCTGTGGGCGGTAGTGAGTGAGGGCTCAGACATAAACAATGGCGACGAAACGTACAAAAATTTTAAACGCTTTTAATATTAAAGCTCGGGGATGGAGGCACAAAGCGGCAGCGACTGAGGCAGGTAACGCGGCACAACACCAGCACCGGAGGTGAAACAACCAACAAAATGCAACACGGCAGCAACAACATCATCAAAATAACAACAACGTGCGCTATCATGCAAAATGCCGCCACAGTATGAAAAATCTACGAAAAATTATTAAAAAAATAAAGAAGCAGCAAAACGATGCAGTGCCGAATATTAAATACCCTCACAGACATCTATGGCGGATCAACAAAGAAAATTGTTTGAGCTTTTGTCTCTGTGAGTGCTTTATGATTAAAGGAAATTTATCTTGATAGGATGTTGACCATGCTGCCATGTCGACCATGTCCCTCAGTCCGAGACGGAGCCATGTAAAACCTTATTAAAAGACATATATTCGGACTGGGTCAACTCGACTGTTGATGCTGATCAGGAATATCTATCATATCATTTAGAGTCTGAGCAGCATCTTGCAATGCGTTGCATATTTCGTGACAAGACTATAATACCCTTTTGCATAGGGCACAACAATAAAACAAAAACCAAATCCTCGGCCAAAGCCAGAGCCAGGCGCACTCAACAGAAAAGTCCTTGCAGCTCCTGGCACTGGGATTCACTGCTAGACTCTCAGTCCGTGTTGGCCAGTTGGCTGTTGCCTCTTGTTATTGTTGTTGTTGTTGTTGTTGTTGGCCTCTTCGTGACGAAAATGTTTCGCTTAACTGGATTTTCAAATATTTATTGCAACAAATTATTTTGCTGGTTAAATGTCGCCTGCGCGCCCCTCACCCACAACCTTTGACCCTTTCTGTCTGGCCTGCTACGCTCTGCCGAGAGTGGTTTTTATGGCCGTTTAGTTTGTTCCATTGCCTGGAATTCGAGTTGAGTTTATTTCTTTTAGTGTGCACAATTGCCAACAAATTAGGGTATTACACAGAAACACACGCATTCACATAAATATGCATTTAAATGCATTTTATTTGGTGCATTTAATATAAAAGAATGCATTTTGCATTGGCTTACAAATTGTTGTTTAAAGCGTGAGCTATTATTTGTTATTAAATATTAAGCAAATAAAATCAATCAATTATGTTAAATTCTTGTTAGCTAGTTAAGCAAATCGAGTTAAGATACTTTTAAATATTGCACTTATATACTTAATAGACGGTGCTTCGATCTATTTTTTCGCAAGAAGCGAAAATGGGCTGAACATATTTTTGTTTCGATCGGATGATTAACTGAAATACAAAAATAATAATTTGCAATATCTGAAACACTTTTTGACTATTCTAATTTTAGCTCCATGCTTTGTATGCTTTTGCATACCTGGTTGCATTTTACAAATGAGGTAAGGCTCGAAATAAAATATTCATATCTTCTTTTCATTCAAATGGCATTAAACAATTTTTGTGTACCTTGCCAAATGCATTTGGAGACATGTTTCACCTGTTGCCAAAAATCTACCCTTCTAGGTGAAAATAGGAATTTAAGTGGTTCCCTAAATTTTAAGATAAGCTCAACCTTATTTTCACTTAAAAGCATTCCCAATAAATCCAAAATAAAATTAACAGAAAAACCGTTGTGCAATATCTTAACGTGATCAGACTTCTTCATCATATATGTAGTCCACAGGAAATAATCGTTCAAAAACTATGTTCTTATAGATAAGCCTTTCTATGTTTTCCTCGCTACTTCTTACCAAACTCAACTGTTATCAACTATGTTACTATATACCCAAATTATTGGGAAACTCATACAAATGACTGCGCATTTTATCTAATAGCTTCTATGGAGAGAATGCCCGATTCTCTGGTTTCTTTTTTCTTTCTTTAATATATAGATATATTTATATCAATTACTACATTTTTTTCTAAATTTTTAAAAATTGTTCATATTTTATTTTCTTTACTACGAAATACGATATTTTTTGGAAAAGCGATAACAAATTTTACTTCTAAATTTATAATAGGTTAATTGTCGATAGTTCTCTTCTTTTGAGATCGCATCACTTAATCACATTCGCCTAACGCCAGCTCTTTTCCTCTTTTCCAGTTGCCGCATTCAATCGAAAGTTTCACATAAACAAACAAACAACAACAACAACATGGCTGTCAGTAGATAAACAAACAGTTTTTGCGCCATTTGTAGTTTATTTGCCATAGATAGATCAAGAGTGAAGAAGGGAGAGCGATAGAGGGAGAGAGAGAGAGACAAGGACAACAGCAATTTCTAATTACATCAAATTAAGCACACACGGAGCTAGAGAAGTTTAGTAGTAACGGTATCTCTGGTGCAACGCGTCGTTAGCAGTGCAGGTGGAGAGAGAGTGACGCGGGGCGAAAACTTTCACTTGATGCGTTCAGAAGTTTTGCGAGCAGCGCTGCCAGAAGCTGGCAATTGACAACAACTCTGGCAACGACAACAATGATAACGACGACAACGAAAACAACGCGACGAACAACATTTCGTGTCAAATCGTATGATAGCGGTAAATGGTAAGCACGTAAACACGTAAACACTCGCAAAATAACGGCAAACGCACGTTACACAGTCACACAGATGTATTTTGGTTAGACGGCGCGCACAGCGAACTCTTAACCATCCGCACAGAAGGACAACCGATGCACGACTAAATGCCAATGGCGTTGACTCGATTGGTGGAAAGACAGCGCCGAGTCGTGCACTTCGCTCCAATTCGTTTTCAGCTCGTGTCCCCACTCGGCTTTTCGAACTTCGAAACTGCTCAAGCAAGAGCGCAATACGAAGAGCATCACTGGAAGCCAACGGTGCCGTTCATTTTGTTCGAAATGAATTGCGCGTCTCACTGAGTGGGTGGCTGGGCGAGCCAGCGACTGGAGGTGAGAGTCCGTAAGGCCGTCAAGTGTTTGGTTTAGTTGCTTAGTGCGTTGATAGGCGCGCTGTGCGCTAAGCACGCGGCACCGGCAGAAATGATTGGCTAACTTTGGTTCGGCATAAGGCCACACTTTACCGCTATGTAGCTTAAGAGTAATTAAGTGCTCGATACGAAATCAAACTGTTATTTACAGCAACAGGCGCTGTTTTGCATCATTTATTTGATATGGAACCTCGTTTTTGACTATTTCACAGGTCGCTTTAGCTGTGGCCTTTTTTTCATATTTACAAAAAAACCAATTAAATGGAAACTTCAAATATATTAAATAGAACACATTTAATTTCTTCCTTGACAATTATCTTATTGTGGCATATGTGTCTCTCTATCCCATCCTGTTAATTGTACTTTAAAATTGTTAAAGAAATGCAATGTCTCGCTTGATTAGGCTCTCATTTAGGTATATTTATTTATATATCTCTCTTTCTCTCGCTTGCTCACTCACAATCTACGAGCTCTGCTCACCTGTCAAAACGCCCCTTGCTCACCTATAATCGTGCCACCGACAGCTAAGCTACTCTTCTTGTGGTCAAATTAGCACGCACATTCAAAAGAATAACTGCATAAATTGGCTTATCTGTAAAAGCGCACAGAATTTGTTGTTGTCTGCTGCTTTTAAGCTAAGTAAATGTCAAAACCAGCAACAACAACAACAACAACACAACAAAAACTACTACTACAACAACAACAACCAGCCAGTAGCAAAGTGGCAACCACAATAAAATTATTCCACATACGCAACGTTGGCTTCTGGCATCATTTAGATAAACATAACTCGGCAAACTTAAAACCAAAAGCTAAAAACTGACCAAAGCTAAAAAAAACAACAACAACAACAACAAACTATATATGTGCATAACTTTATGTACATATATATTGTTATAAGTATGCCCAAATCTTTAGGTTCAAAATATATTTAAAGCGACGAATGCTGCTTGACCAACATTTCGTATTAGAGTGCGGCAACAGTTTTAGCCTCGCCTTTGCCATCATTTTTCACCAGCAACAACAACAACAAACGACAAATAAGTGTGCTCGACTAAGAGATACCCTATAAACACGCTTGCTGCATACGTCCTTTTTCTTCGCTTTGAGCCAAAATAGTTATGAGAAATATATTTTTTTGAATAACTTCGGTGTTTAGAGTCCGTTCTACATGCCATTTTCAGGGCTTGCTTTTGAAGGAAACAATTTCTCTTAGAGTAATAGTATCAAGATAATGAAAATGAATCATATCGCATATAATGTTAAATCGAGGTTAGATACACGCGAAATATCAAGGAATATTAAAATATATTTTTCAATTCAAAGACAACTTTGTATATATTATGTCGAATATACTTCCTTTCGCCTGTTATATACATTTGCTCAAAACCATAATACCCATTTTCGGCGGGTCAAGGGTATAAGAACCTAAGCAACAACAACAAGCAACGCAAAAAGGGACCGCGTTGATGACGACGATGATGAAGGCAACCGAAAACGTTGACAAACGGCAACGTCACAGTTTGAGGCCTGGGAGTGAGGGGTGAAAGGGGAGGTCAACTGTGTAGCTGGCCCCACTGATAATATTTGTGACTTGTGTGCATGCGTGTGTGTAGAGTGTGTGTATGTGTGTTGGTTTTCAAAGCGCATTAAAATATTTTTAAGAGTTTAGCACAAAAATGTGACCATTTATAAAAGAGACACAACAGAAATGAACTGTTTTGCTTTATATTTAACACGAAAAGACTTTGGCCCTAAACGGTATTTAAATAGTACAATAACAATTCATATTCAAATATTTACATTTTTATTCAAAAATTTATAAACAATCGGCTAGTTTAGATATGCACAACATATCCGGATGAACCTTGTTTGAACGACTTCTTGTACAACAACTTTTTTATTGAATGCTTTAAAACAAAAGAACAAGAGTTTAAGAAAATAGTGACTAAAGTTCATGAAGCAAAGATCATAATCGAAAGAATACAAGTGTATCAAGTCATACTGGAAACTAAAGCTAATGAATACCTTAAGAAGGTAAGAACTAAAAGAGAGGCTAAAAAGCTGCAGCTCACTCAGATTGAAAAGTTGTAGCTACGGGATACTTAAGTCTACGATCTTAAAACAATTTCAGGGCCCTGTGATTTAAGCTTGGCTGATTTATGTTGGATCGTTGTTCTGAGGCAATTAAGTTTAAATCAAAACTGAAACGAATATCGTCTAGGATTCGGCTATATGCAAGGAGAGTTCTGGATCTATCAGATGGATCAAAAGGCAAAAAAGAAAATTAGTAAGGAAACTGTTTCAAAATACTTTTTTATGCTATCGATAAATAAACAAGTTTCTTGCCAAACTTTTATTGATAATGCAAGGAGCTTTAAACATTTTGCTTTTGTGTTGGTTAACATGGTAGATGCCAAATTAGCATAAGAAAGGACATAGAAAAGATAATTGCATACATTTGGGTATTTTAAAAATTAAAAGCAACGAATTCCATAAGCTTGGATATAAAACGCATGGGGTATAACAAAGTAGAGCCCGATAATTAGATAAACAAGTGTCAATTTCAGTTGCTTTAAGCCAAATGCAAAGCAAGCGCCTCGAACTGTCAATCCTGTTATTGTGAGCCAATAAAAAAAAAAGAAACATTTGTATATATATACAACGAAATTTAGCAAAGCTCTCGGTAACAAATCCTCTTTGGCAGCAAAGCTGTGTGACCCCTCAACCCTGACAACCCCTTGCCACCTTTACCCTCATCCTCGCCCACTTTGTGCCTTAAGAGCAGCCCGTGGATTGTCATTTAGCTGAGTTTGAACGTCGTCGTGTAAGAAACGACACCCAAAAGTGCGGGCATTAAATGAAAGTTGCACTTTTCTCCTGCATTTGGCCTTATTTTTTTCATTCAATTCTTTACCCCCTTTTTTTTTTATCCACAATTGGCGTGAAATGCAAGCGCATAAAAAAGTGATAAGTAGGAGGAGGTTGCCTGTTCTAGGAGGAGTGGAGTTTTGTTGCTGCTGCTGCTGCTGCTGCTGCTGCATAATGGCGCCCAAGTGGCAAGTGGCAAGTGTCAATTGATTTCTGGGGATGTGGGCGTGGCACTTGCGTGTGTATGTGTGTGTGCTTTAAGCGCATTAGCAGCTACAACACACACACACACACACACAAAAAAACAACAAAGCTGATTGCATTAAAAGCGCAAATTGCTGGCAAAATTCAAGAGCTCAGCAAATATGCTACATGAAAAAAAAAAGGGGAAAAATACATAAAAGCCAAGTAGCTTACCAAAAAAGTGAGACACAAACATTGCACTCATTTATATGGCCAAACCAGCTATAAAATCTGTTCATGTACTTAGCCCTGCCTCAACCCTCCAGCCCCTAACCGAGCTGGCCAGATTGTCCGGTTTTGGCCAGGCATTTGTTACATTTGCCCATTTTCGACCCACTGTTTATGCCAGGCCCAGTCGTTCTTAGCTTGTTTTTGCCAGCCTGCGTAGGGACACAAATTGATTTTGGCCCAAATTCAGTTGAAGTCAGAAGTACGACTATTAGCAAAGGGCTGACCCAATGCCGCATATTAATGCGACTATTTCAGAGTTTTCTTTTTAACCAGCCTCTACCGAAGCGGCCATTGCCCGAGTTGTGGCTGCAAATGCTAGCATATGCAAGACTTCAAGCAATTTCTATAGTTTAACAGGGTCTCAGTAGGAAACAAGTTAAGAAAAAAAAAAAATAGATTAGACTCGCCTTTTCTTTCAATACTTCTCAAATATTGAATTTCTATATATTATTCGATTGTTCAATTTGCTCTACGCATATCGAAGCAGCCGAAACTCTTCAAACTCAAATAAAAATAAATTTTCGCAACGTTTTGTGCGAACATAACCCACACTTAAATAAATCAGTTTAATGTGTACTTAATATTTGCCATTAAGTTTTTATTACTTTTCTGTGCTGGGCACAAGCGTGGCTCAGTGCTGCAGAGCAGGTACATAAATCGGGGTAAAAACACCGTTAAACCAATTCAGGCCACATTCACACACACACACACACACACACACACACACACACATACACATAAAATAAAATATGCCAATTGGTTGCATTGGTATAAACGCTTTGGGCATAATTTGTGACCAGGCCAAGAAGAATTCTTTCATTTAATTTTTGTGACCGTGAGTTTAATCAAAATGGGCCTCTAGAAAAATGTTTCTAGGAAGCTGAAATTTGCACTGTAGTTACCTTATTTGGCGAAAGTGCACGCTAACATTAAGTTTCAGGAAATTCCAGAAGTATGTGTGGAAAATGTGTATGAACAATTTTTGCTTATCAACCGATCAACTTCAAAGTCATTTTTAATCTTTGTAAGAATTTATTTGATAAATTCTGGGCTGACAATATTCTTCAGCATCAAGATTCTCTTCGCAGGCGTAACATAGGCGGCCACCGTCGATTCCAACAGTTGGTTCTTTACTTAAAACATATATTTTTAAATAGAAGTACAGATCAAGATGGGTATAATTCAATTTTCCACGGGCGTGTACTTAGTTGAGAGATAATATCTTAAATTTGATGCACAAAACGTGCCACGGAGAAGCTCTAGATCTACTAGGTAGATTATTGTGTTATAGAAAAACTGCAAATATCCCATATGAATACAATTAATGTAAAAACATAGCGTATTAATAAAATCGTACTACTTCCGATAACTTTATTTCAAGTGTAAAACAAATGCAAAAGA